ATTTAAAATCAAATTTACATATCATAAATAAGTTGTTATTGTAGAACCTTCTTCTATTCTAAAGTCACTCTAAGTTAAGAATCTAAATACATACTTCAAAAGATTTTTCCTTGATATCAATCTTTTTCATAGAAGAGAGTAGAAGAAACATGCCACCAGACAACTTTTATCTACAAGAGCCTTTGCCACATTGGTTTGGACATCTTCTATACTAGTATTTGAGGCTTTAGCTAATCTTACCTTTTTGTCAAGGATCACAATTAAGTGCTTAGTTATTATATATCTCAAGATATGTCCTACGAATATAATTAGATATTTCTTTATTTGTCATTCGCATCAATCTTCACTATAACATATCAAAGAATGTCACATTATATATTTCAAATATAATATTAAATTAAAAATTATTATTTTTAAAATAAAAATTTATTAAGTTAAAATATTATATCTAAATAAATCAAAACTTCATAGATATCTACTTAAATAAAGTTATTATTAGTAATTTCTGAAAATTCTTTTAAATTTTAGACTTAAAGATGCTATTTTTAAGAAATAACATTCAAATTTTACCTCTTAAATGCTTAGTAACTATTGTTGGAGCCACCATATATTAGGCTTATTCTCCTTCATAATGTATTTTCATAAGACATATCTATTGATCTAATATTTCTTTTAAAGAAAATCACTTCTATTTTTGAGTTTGACAAAAGCTTAAAATTTTGATTGACAATGCAATCTTGCTTAAGAGTAGAAATATGAACAATGAAATCTTATTTGAATAGATGAATTTGCATTAATTGACTAATGCTAGCTGATATATTTAAAGCCAACATTACATCAAATATTATTTGATAATATTTAATAAAAAATTATAAGAAGTATTACATTTCCAATTAAGTTTTATATACAAAATAAGAAATTAGATAATTTGACAAACAATATTTACAAACATTTCTTTATTAGTTCAAAGAAGAAAAATAAATATTAAAGTCATTAGTTGCATTTGGAAGATATATTATGTTAGGATGTTTGTCAAAGATTTGTATTTAGAGAAAGGAATAGAATGACAATGCTACACATAAATCACAAAGTCTATAATTTAGGATGTCAAAGTGAATTCAATACTTGAATCTAAATAAGATTTCATCGTTCAAATAAGATGTTTATATAAATAAATATGTTTATATCAGATTAGCTACAAAATAATTTGAACATTAACAAAATCATTTTTTAACTAATTTATTTTTATTTGATTGTATTAATTAAATATTAAAATATTATTTGAACTAACTATAAGTAGAAAATATTAATAATAAATAATATTAAAATATTTCCATACACCTTCATTTATCTTGGAAAAAAATCCATCTAATGTTAGAAAGTGGTAAGATTTGAGTAATCAACTATGCTTGCAAAAGTTGTCAAAATTGATGTGAGAATAATCAAAACAACACAATGAACTAATGATTCAAAAAACCTCTAAAATTCTTCAATTTTTTCTAATAAGAGCAAATAATATATATTACTTTATAGCCAATAAGGATACAAAAGATGCTCAAATAGTACACTTATCAAAGAGATCACCCTTCATATAATTAAATCATTGTTTGAGCTACAGAATTAAATTCAAATTCTTCCCTGAATCAAAAATAGTTGGTGGATAACATCTTAGAGAACAAGGATATGGTTCAAGCAGAGGACCCTTTGGCATATAAGTAAAAAGGTTGTGGTCCTTCTTGATGATATATAAGCTCTAGACTTGAGCAATTCATAACATCATCCATAAATCCAAAAAATTTGGTTGTTTGGCCGTTTCTAAGGACAACTATAGCAGCAACTTTTAATCATGGTCTTCAAAAAAATCATATAATTATCCAAAAGTATAGGTATATACTACTTTTTATTTTAGTATGTAATTGTTTCATTAACAGTCCATTCTAAAGTTGAGAAAAGAGCAATTTTCTACAAAGAACCTTGATCAATATAATATTGAAATTCTAAACACTTGTTGTCCTAAGGAACTTCCTACTAATAATTTCTTCGTTAAAGAAGATCTTTGGCACAAAATAAAAATTTGGCAACCATGTAAGTTGTATATATTTCAAGAGTCTAGCTCATGGCCTTGGTTTTTGTAAGTCCAAAGTTTGCTAGCTTTCCACACAACTATCCTTAAGCACTCAGCTGAAGTCCCTTCTCTCTGGGTAGATAATTGTTCAACATATTCTGGCGCTTCAAATCATAATAAATAACCTCCTTACTATTCATGCAATATATTACTTTGGCCACTTAAATCATCATACCAATACCAACAATTTTGATAATTTGTATCACTGCTGAAGATTTAGTTCCCTTTTTAGTATCAACTCTAGGTTCTATTTAGTGAAGACTTGGAGTTATTCAATAGAGACTTGACAAGAACTGCAAGCAAATATTATTGCTTTTGCTTTGAAAATTTTTTACCAACATATAAGGTCTCAATCTCTTCTAGTTTTAACAATAGCAGATGAATATCTTTGTTGGTCTCCTTTTTCAGTATATTTTTGCTAGAACAAAAGCTCTCTAGTATCTTTTGAAAGTCATATTTTGTACATTCCATCAATCCTGCTTCTAATCAATTTCCATTTTTGCATCCACGTCACTGAGGTATTTTCAATATGGACCATTGACCTCTACCATCCTAAATCCACTACAATATCTAAAATATGCTCTTTGACATGTGCTAGAATGATCGCCAGTTGCAGCCATAACTCTCTCTCGCAGCAGCAATCTTATATAATCTTTGCGGCTTGCATCACTATGAAATGTATGTATATCAAAGCTTTGCATTGGCTGTTGTCTCCATTGTATATAGAAAGGAGTATGTGCTATTTATTCAGTAGAAAGGACTTTGTTTCTTTGACCTTTTCGTTCAGATACTTCAATTGAAATAAGTTCAACTTCATAATTTGAGTTTTTAAAAAAGCATGTCCTTTTGTTTTAGTATCCAAGATCTCTGTGTAATAGTCAAAGTTCAAGATGGCATTGGTTATGAAAACTGGCCAAATTCACTTGCAAAGACATAAATGATCAATTGATCTAAATCAATAAAATAACTACATCAACTAAAGAACCATTGAGCTCGAATCTTGGAATTAGAAATTTGTATACTTTTAAATGTCTTAGAATTTTATAGACAAATAGACTACATGGCCTTTTACATTTTTTGATCTTATACAAAGAACAAAACCAAGTGTTTATAGCTAGAATGGTCTAATCAAGGCAAAGTGATGTGTATGAACATTCAAATTCAAAGACAAGAAATCAGAGGATTGTTAAAGTGTCTTGCTTTTGGCTAGTCATATATGTTCACTCAGGGACTCCTAAATTAAGTGGAATTCATAGTCAACGAATCACTTTATACAAGATCAAGGGAATTAACACAAATAGGCACTTACAACAAATGATGCTACATACAACACCACATAAAAATTCATCTCTTCAACACACACCATTCTAGTGCGATCTTTTCTAAGATCCAATTTGCAGAACTAAGTACAAGGATCCTAGCAAAGATGCATTTCCAACAAAGTCTACTAACCGGCATTCTAGTCTTCCTTATCTTTGGTCTAGGAAAGCCTCAAATGCAATACATTCCAACAAACAACCACAGCCAAAAATACAATCACTAATTGGACAACAATTTGGACAGACGTCTGAATTATCTTCTACCAACAAAAATGATTAAAAAAAAATAACGAAACAGTGCATGTCACCTAAGTATCACCAAAATTATAAGTATCTACAAAACCGCATTCAATTCACCATTAAGACCTCAACAAGACACAAATCCGAAGGGTAAAGGTCCTCACAGGCACAACTACAACGTGCATCTATTTTTTGACTAAACCTTGCGTGTAAACCTGTTTCGCTTTAACTTGACGAACCTCCCCTGGTTGAATCGTTTATCCTAGTGTTCCAATTTCTGGGATCTTCTGCGGTATTAGTGAATTTTCCATTGGAGTGGAGTCCAAGAGACTAAGGCTGTACAACTCTGCAAATCTCAGCATCTTCCATATCTCTGAGAATTTCGGTAGAAATGAACTAGGCAATTGTAACGTGGCGGTTATTCTTTCTAATATGGCGCTATGTCACAATCCTTCGTTCATGTGAGCTGTAAGAAAGTTGAGGTTTGTAAGCTTTGGATCAATGCAAGTGCTTTTGTTGTGAGCACTGGTATTCATGTAGCTTTGGTATTTCTCTTCGGTATTTCAAGAGATCAGGATAAGACTACTTAATGAGTGCATTTTCTGGGTGCACGGAACACCGTCAGTTAACGAACCTGATGATTAATTAGGTTCAGACTGCACAGGAATGTCTTTTCACCTATGTTTACTGAATTCCCAACAAGTTTAAAAAATAAGAAAAATCAAACTGCCCACACACTGAAACTTTTTAATGAACTTTCTGTTTGCATTTAAGTCCACCTGTACACATCCGAAATGGTTTTACGGTCGGATCTTTGGCTAAGGCTGTACAACTCTGCAAAGCCAAAACTAAGGCTGTACAACTCTGCAAAGCCGAAACTAACGCTGTACAACTCTGCAAACCTCAGCATCTTTGGCTTTTAGATAGGTGCTGAGTGTACGATGGGTATCAAAGCGTTGGTTCTTCGTCACCCTGGAGTGATGCCTGACGACCAATACTTTAGAATTGGTACTAGATTTTACGACCATGGTAAAGGGCATGTTGTACAAGCCAGCATGTGACAAAAGAGTTTGTTGTACAACACTGCGAGAAGAATCAATAAATTGCCTACAATAGGCGAGAATCAAATCTGTGACGTGGTTCCGGTCAGACACTCTATACGCAAGTTTTCTACAGCACCCGTGGTTTTGCACAATGTCCAATTCAACGCTGGAATACGGTGCAGTAGCTGTAGTCATATCTACGTCCTTCAGCATCGGACGGTTTGTGGTCATCGTGGTCCAATGGTGAGCCAGTTTTAGTTCACATGAGATGCATTCATACTGATGGATATCTTTGGCTTCTGAAACAAAGATATTTCTTTCGATTGAGTAATACTTTTGTTGGAGTATAGTCTCATCTCCTTGTCATGGTTTTTGTGTCCTAAATTGTTGAAAAGTAATGTTCGAACTCTATCTGCACACTTTCTAGCTACTTGGACTAGTCAATAGTCTTTCGACGTCACCCTTGTTTTCTAGGAATTCATTGCCTGGATACAATGTTGAAGAACTTGTGTTGTACATCACCTTCGACATCATCACAAGTGATCGACACACCTACTGCATCGAGATAAATGCCGCATCAGAACCGAAGATTCAGCAGTTCCGAAGATATGATGGCAATTTTGCAGTCTACTGGTGGCCAAAACAACCAATGCGCTGTTATAAAAGTAAAGCTTAACGTGAGAAGCGTAGAGACAACCCTTGACGGCCTTGTCTTAGGGTATTGAATTTTCCAAGCTGTCTCCAAGGCAACGGCCACCCCATGAACGACGAAGAAGCTTGTCATCCGCCACGTAGCATTCCAAGTCATATAGTATACTGCCCCCTCATGCATTATTCCAGACACCAAGAACGACGCAAGCAGTGCTATTAATTTATCTAAGTCGAACTTTCGCCTAGCCCCTTGAGCCTTTGAAAAATCTGTGTTAGTTACTCCAGAGGATCTTTTGGAGCGGCGCGTTAGAAATAGATCTTCCGACTCAGCCAGGTTGGTGGACAGAGCCTGGTCAGACGTTTCCGGCTTATCATCAGAACGCTGTAGAAGGTGTAGAACGGGATTGTACACTGTTTCCCTGAGGCAGCTGCTCACAAGAAGGTTCCACCGCTGACCCCAGAACTCTTGGAGCGAGACTGAGACAAATGGATTATCGAAGTGGGGTTCGATCGTGACACCAAAGAAGAAGTTTGCCACTGCAGCCAGAACTTCGAGCAAAGTCGTTGCAAAGAGATATAACTGGAGCGTTGTTAGAAGGTGGAGGACAATCAACGGGAGGGTGTCTAGACTTGACACAGTTATTTGCAGCAGTAAAGCCAGTACGACGGATTTGACTACAGATCTGGCAAAAAGCATATACCATGTCTCCGACTTGGAGACGTAATCTATCAGTGAAGAGTACTTCACAGGGACGCGCTTCACCACTTTTCCAGTCTGCTTCACGTGAGCAGGATACATCATCACAATTGCAAACCTCGGGAAGATTGGTTCTACCCAGGGGTCACACCCAGCACCAGTACCCCAGCAGAGAAGCAACACCTTGAACGAAGCTATCCATGTGACTATGCAGTAGAAACAACCTACACCAGTTAGATGAGTGTCGTGGCTCCAAATAAAGGGTACGAGTGTATACACTGCCAATGCTGGAGTGGACGCGACGAGGCGAGGAAACCCTAATGAGAATCTTCTAACTATCCAATAGCAGTAGGCTGCAGCGATAAAAACCAGGAGGTGTCCCACCAGAATTCCTTCTTTCCAACTCTGAGCTTCATATCCCAATGTCGCCATTCTAGAAATCGTTGACAACGGCTACAATTCTATGTGATCCTTCCACACCCAAGCGGCGGTGTTCCACGCCGAACCCTTACTAGCTAACTGATGCATTCTACACACTGATCCGAATGCCAATGGTAGGTTTACACGAAGTGATACATACTTCGGCTTCGAAATACTTCAACACGCCGTCTCCAAGCACTATTTATACTGTGGTTGAGTATCAGGGGCGGCGTGTGACGTTGGCGGTTACGTTGCCCATCCAGCTACAACAGCCTCAATACGATTGCAACTCGCTGATCCTCTCAATCCTGAAAGCTAGACTATCGTGGTGTCCCATGAGAGCAGAGAATTGTCAGGAACTAGCATTCACAAACACGAGAAAGCACCGTCGCAGCAGGAAATAACGCGATAATGGGCCGATAAAAAAACCGCCGCAACAGCCGCAGAAGCAACGGACACTATTTGTGGATAAGAAGTGTGTGTGTGTAATATCCTGGATTCGATGTCATTAGCTGGAATTATGATGCTACCAGGGCCCACTACGGATTCAGCTCATCAGTGACCATGTTGCAGAAAGATAACACCGCTACCATATGTTGTTGTTGGTGTTGGACTGTGGAGGAGGAGCAGCAGAAGGACAGCGCCAGGAACACGACCCATAAGCAACAAACATCACGAGAAACATAGATCACTCTTTGCCACCTGATCAGCCAGCCAACTGCTAAGTTGCTCTAACACATACCACTCAGCCAATCCATGGAGTTTATTGATAAGTATCAAAATCCTGCTTATTTTGATACTTAGGAGTTTTTCGTAAGTATACTGGAGAAAGCTAGAAGCCACAATTTTCAAAGAATTTGATTGGTTGAATTAAGAAGCACACCTTAATTAGTTTTGAACCAAAAAAAATCAATAATGAAATCACAAGGAGACAAATACGAGGTGGAAGGGACTTTTCTATTAATGTGACTGGAATAGTATTGTTTCTTGAAGTTTGTGTTGGACCCACATCAAGTGGTGCTTTTTGAAAAAACTTAAGAGGTCGTATCAAATTAAGCTAAAAACATTCATTAAATTATTACTTTTGATTCTTTTTAATGTTCTCTATAATTTTCACAATCTTGATATAAGCTATTATATTTTATATTTAATAGTAAAGTAATTTGGCTCATGTGTATTGAAAAAGAGAAGTCTAAAGGCTACAAACGCTTAGCATCAACAAGGATTGTACTCTAAGAGAAGTGTGGAGGAAGATAATTCTTACTTCCAACACTCTTTACTTATAGGTGGTGGTTTATCCACCAACGAGACAACTTCCATCCATTTGATATTACATCCATTTCTATCTCATCTTACTAAAGCCTTGGTAGTACCACAATAACTTACTTTACCTCTTTGCTGCTTTTTTACTATTACCAACATACTATGCTTAAACTTTATGTGATTGTAACTAAGCAAGTACTCGTTGTTCTTCAACACTCCCACTTTACTAATATTCAAAAAGCTTTTAATCCTAATCTCTGAATCAAGTCATGATGTCTATCCTTGACTAATGCCTTTGTAAGCACATGAGCAAGCATGTCATTTGTAGCACAATACTTCATACCTATTATTCCATCTTCAATCTTCTCTTGTATGAAATGATGTTAAACATCAATATGCTTGATCCTTGAGTGGTATTTTGGATTCTTAGCAAATGCAAGACATCCTTGATTATCACACATAATGAGGATTGCTTCTAGTTGCACTAGACCAATGTCTTCTAAGAGTTGCCTTATCCAATACACATCCATTGCACAATGACTTGCTGCCATGTACTCTGCCTCCATCGTTCATCTTGTAATAGTAGATTGTCTCTTGCAATTCCATGAAATAGCTCCCACTCCAATAAAGAATACATATCCCGTTGTGGATCTTCTATCATTTACATCTTCAACTCAATCCGCATCACAATAACCTTGTAAGTCAATGTTCTTACTACCAAGACATAATTTGAAGTCTTTTGTACCTTTTAAGTACCTCAAAATCCTCTTTACCGTTTTTCAATGCATTGGTCTAGTCTTAGACATGTATTGGCTTACAACACTCACCGCATATGCAAGATCCACTCTTGTAGCCACCATTGCATACATGAGTGAGTCTACTGCTGCTTTGTATGGAATACTTTGCATCTCACCTTCAACTTGTGTAAACTCCTCATCAGTGAACTTCATCAACTTCAAATTTGCCTCCAAGGGTGTTCCAATAGGCTTGCACTCCTCCATATTGAATCGTTTCAATACTTCTTCAATGTACTTGGTTTAACTCATTGCAATCGTCTTGTTACCATGATCACTTACAAATTCTACTTCCAAGCAATAGTGCAACTCTCCCAAATCACTCATCTCATATTCCTTCTCTAATTTGGCCTTCAATCAATCCATCTTTTCCATATTGTTGTCAAGGATAAGAACTTGATGAAAAAATAATTCAGACAAGTGAGCCTTCACTCAAAGAGAGGTAACAAAATATATATAAACAAGTATATATATTGAAAGAGAAACTAAAATGGCTATTGCCAAAAGACAAGAAAACTAGAGGCCCTTGAAACTAGACTAGAATCAAGAAAGGAGTTGACAAGAGTGAAGAAGCCTTCACTCTTGTCTCTATATATACTATCTAACTAGGGGCTACATGGCGACGTTCTATAGGACCTCTAATATGTGTTGACTTTGTAGGACACATGCCTTGACTTACAAGGCAAGTTTTTCTACGTGTGGACCACATAGTTAGCTTGATCTTCAAGCTAACAACATGTGTGGCACATGGCCAACTTGTTGACCCCGTTTCTAATCCAAAAAATCAATTAAAGACACCTATGAAGTCAAAGCAGCGTCTATGAAGCTTCTAGGAAGCTATCATATTAAATACTATAGAATTAACTTATTTTTACCTATATTTACTTACTTCTCCCTATTTGTATATGTAATTACTAGCTTACATGATTATGTCCGTGACATTATCTCCCCTTCTAGGGACGAGTTCCACAAGGAGCGGTCATCATATGTTGAGGAAATCTATGATGTGATGAATTGTATTTACCACATACTCTGATCTTTGTTCTCTTTGAAGATGATTGATAGGGCCACTCAACCGTCGGTAGTGTCCCATACTAGGGCGGGAAGACCACCCAGTTATTTAATCATTGTTGAGACCTTCGTAACTTCTTTCGAATAGAATATTTGGAGCACCATCAGGAGTTGTTCCTACCTCTAGTATAATCACCAAACATCGGGAGTCCCTTCCCAAATTGTGATACCAAACGCGTTGTATCTCGCCATCTATTCGAGGAAGAACATGTCGTTCTTGAAGATCTTCATCTCGATTGCGTCATCTTGAAGGTTGTGACAATCGTAATGTCTCGTTCAGCAGGTCAGCAAATGAAGGTTCTTGAGTCGAATCTGCTGGTTATTGGTTCTCCATCTCCTAAGCGTCACTACTATAAAGAAGCTACGAACAAGAATTGAAAGTAGAATGTTATCTTGCCTAAATGTTGTTTCTTTTATAAAGAAGGTTTTTATCTTGATTTTGATGGATGTCGTCGATGAAAAGCCTCCACCGCCTTTGCTGCATTTGTAAGATTCTTTATTAGCTCCCATGTGCGTTCACTAATACCATATCCGTGCCAATGGACAAGATATTCTAATTTATTTCGGCGCCGCCTTGAATCTAAGACTTCTTCTACTTCAAACTCTTCATTATTGTCCACTTCTATAGGAGGAGGTGGAGCTTGTTGTCTTTTTGGTATGTCCACTAACTTGTATGGTTCAAGAAGAGACACGTGGAATACATGATGGATTTTTATTGACTCCGGTAGATGTAAACGATATGCAACTAGATTGATTTGTGCAGAAATAGAAAATGGTCCTAGCCTTCGATAGTCCAATTTGTCACAAGGACGAGTGGTCTTGATATTACGACGAAGTAGCCATACCTTATCACCCAAGATGAATGATGGTTGTTCCTTTCGATAGACATCCGCATTGACCTTTTGTTGTTCTTGAGCCTCTTTTAACTGCGCCTTCATTGTTGCATGTAGCTCTGATAAATGAATTACCAAATCTTTCGCAGCAGGATTATCAACTTTTGAAAAGTCAAAAATATCAAGTTGTGGATGGTAATCATAATTAGCAAAGAAAGGTGTTTGTTTTGTAGAAAAATGTATCGTGTTATTGTAAGCAAACTCTGCCAATGGCAAAAGAGTTGTCCAATCATCTTATTGGTAATTAATGGTACATCTTAAATATTGCTCCAAAACTTGATTAACACGCTCTGTTTGTCGATCAGTTTGAGGATGGAATGTCGAAGATAGTTTTATATCCACTTTAAGAATCTTGAAAAGAGTCCGCCAAAATCTTGATACAAATTGAGTTCCCCTATCTGATATAATATCTTTGGATAATCCATGATAGCGATAGATATTGTCAAGAAAGAGCTTAGCTGTTTCTTTACCTGTAATAGATTTTTTACATGGTACAAAATGTGCCATCTGGGTAAAATGATCTATTATCATGAATATAGAGTCATAAGAACCTGAGATTAGAAGATCCGTGATGAAGTCCATAGAAATAGAAGACCATGATTGTTCTAGAATGGATAATGGCTGAAGAAGTCCAAAAAGTCGATGACGAGGAGTTTTCGATCTTGAGCAAATATCACATGATTGTACAAAATCTTTAACTGCCTTCCACATTTGAGGCCACCAAAAATCCCTAGATATCAGCTCCAAAGTCTTATTATATCCAAAATGTCCTATTGCTGGGAAGTCGTGACAAACTTGAAGAACACGTAAACGTGCTTCTCCTTTTCGAACATATAGGCGTCCTTCAAAATAGAGTAGGTTGTTCTTGAATTCAAATTTAGAGGGATAATGAGATTTAGAAGAATTATTCTTGATATCATGAACAAGAAGGTCTGAAGACATACTTAATTGGACTTGCTTGAAAAAAGTTAAATCAATAGTCAATGTTTATTTTATTGCTCGAAGATGAAATGGCTCCGACTTCAAGAGAACCGTTCTTTGTTGCTCAAAAGCTACATCACCTTCTTTTGGTGTAAGATAAGAATGTCTAGACAAGGCATTGGACAAACCTTGTTGTTTTTCTGGCCGATAAGTAATGATGAACTCGAATCTTGATAAAGACATGCTCCAACAAGCTTGGCGACGATTTAATACGCTTGCTGATATAAAATATTCGAGATTCTTGTGATCTGTATACATGGTGACTGGACTAGAAGCGCCTTTTACATATTGATGCCATTCTTGAAAAGAATCCACAATTGCAAGAAGTTCTTTATCGTGGATCTCATAATTGATTTCTGCTATTGAGAATTTTCTTGAATGAAAGGCTAGTGGATGAAGTTTGTCATCTATTCCCATTTGTGATAAAATCGCACCTAGAGCAAA